AATATGTCATATATGTCAGATTTGTCGATTATGTCAGATATGTCATATATGTCAGATTTGTCAGATTTGTCGATCATTTGCGCCACGTAGGTCCTATCATATTTTATTCGTTCACAATATTAATCTTTTTAAATAGGAATTAGTAATACAAATGTAATGATTTATTATTATCTACAGATCTCGATTCATGATGAATAAATTTTTATAATTAAAATTGAAATAGTGATTATGAACTCAAACAAAAATGCATTATATGCAATCTTTTATTTTGCAAGAGATCTTTTTAAATAAATGGAAAATTTTGAGACACAGTATTACTCTATTAGTATTATATTAAGTTATTATAAAATTGTAATTTGTCAGATTTTATTTTAAACACTATTGTTAAATACATCTCAAATTCAGGAAGGAATATTTGTTATTATTAATAGGATCCAGGCCATTATAATTGCTTTAGTTGAAAAAAATATAATTATAAAAAATGTAGTTATGACAAATGTATATAATAAAGCAACATGATTTTTATTAAATCAGATTAAATTTTCTTTTCACGTATAGTAAGCATACAGTATAAAATAAACCTTTTTCTTAGTATATTTATACAAGAGAATTGTATATATTAAAAAAATCAATCATTAATATTTAAAAAACTTGATCCACTAATAAAATCTCTTAATAAATTACTACATATCAATTTACCTAATCATGTTCAGTTTATCATTGTTCAACTTTACAGGATCATGCTTTTTTTTACCTTAATCACTATTTTTTTGTTTATTAGTCTAGTGTTATTCATAGGGATTGTTACCATATGGTCAAATCTCAAACAAAAAAATTTCTGATGAACTTTCTACACATATCACTAGAATCATCAATAATCTTAATATAAAAATAATATATCAAAAATTGAAAATATCTTTAGTAAACTTACCGTGAAAATTAATATTAAAATCACCAATGAACTTTTCGTATACCTTTCTAAAGTTAATTCTTCTTTTACTGCATAGCTCAGCAAAATTAATACTGAACTTAATAGTAAATTCATCACAGAAATCAAAAATTTTAAGGCATATAATGCTGGCTACATCACAGAAGTACAGACATTGAAAAAGCTTGTCAAAATGATTTTGGCAAAATTAAATCCCTAGAAAAATCCATTGTGTTCAGATTTGTATTAATTGATGCTAGTATAAACAATCTCCAAAACAATATAAATCAATATTACGCAGATGCTCAAAGTCCAATTTTCTTTATTCTGACCAATATAGTAAATCCAATGAATCTGAAGCTTTGAATTGCCATTATATGGGTTAGGACTCAGCAAATTTACTCCCTTAAAATCCTGCTTCTCCATTATTTTTACTTAGCCGGCTGAACTCTTTCTTAATGTATTCATATTACATAATAAAGAATATGTTTTCGAATTGATTTTTATGTATTATGCACAGAAAATAATAAAGTTAATTTTGTCATATTAAAAATAAAGTATTTTACAAATTATGTAGCATTTGGCAAGTTTATTTTGATTTTATAAGCTTATTATGTTCGTGAGAAGTGACATGTCTTAAGCTATGGTAACTTCAGATAAGACTTGCTCCATCGCACGTACTGATGGCTGGTTCATCGCAGTCAAAATCATTTTATCTGGTGGGTCAATATCATTAGAAAATAGCGTGGTTGGTCGACAGTGCAAAAAATTATAATCTACAAGTGAATTAACTTGTTCAGAACCAATTGCTTTAA